TTATCCTTTATATAATATATGCATTCTAGGTGATTAAAGAAGGTTATCTTTAAGAGCGGAAATGGTAATGGGAGAGGAAGGTGAAGAGAAATTTCCACTTTTAGCTCTATTTCTAAAGTGTTTAAAATTGTGAAAAACAAGAATGCATTCATGTGTTACTATTACAACTTTCTAATGTTGTTTGACTTTAAAATTAGTGGGGTGGAGGTGTTGGGGGGGGCATATGGAAAACAGTTTGTCCTTACAGATGTTTCTACAACTGTGTTTCTGGCTTTTGGTCACATTTTTCCCTCTTTTAAAAGTTGATCCAAAAAGCTGTTCAACTCAGCCTCCTAAACGTTCCAAAATTATTTTCAGCTCATAGAAAAGGCTTTAACCTTCAACCTCTTTAGTTTTGGCCCCACTATGTTTATGACTATTTTTAAATTGGTTGCTGTTGAAAGATATTTAGAAGATCATTTATCAGAGAAGAAACTTAAACTGGAGGCCTTGAATCTAGAGTTAAGAAAACCTGGCTCTGTATTCTCAGGCAGTATAGTTTATTCGGTCAATTACTAACTGGAAATATCTACAGCTCAAATGGCAATGAAGGCATATTGGTGGTTTACGTGCAAGGGGAGGAGGGTGCAGAGGAAATATACAGGCTGTCAATACTGAATGAGAGAAAGGCTTCTTATTCCAGTTCCTCGTGTGGGATCTCTTAGAGTCACTCAGATATTTACTCTAGGACAAAGAATGCATCAGTATTTAGGGAATAAATATCTTATACAGACTTCCATCACGAAATTCAAGGAACACAAAGCTAATGATCACAACTATTTTTATCAGTGTGATGAGTGTCAAGTCCCCTCCATCCTTCTGGCTCTCTTATATTTATTTCAGCCCTGTATACCATTAATGCCATCAGGCAGGGCTCCTGACATGAAGCATTCTAGGAAGACTTCACAGACCTTTGGCCCCTAAATGCTTCCATCTCCCCATCACACACACTTCTACATCTTCGATGAAGAAAGGGAGCCAGGAGGCAATGTGACAGGTAAACACAAGCGAGAGCATTCAAAGGCCTTGTCGCCTGTTCCTTTGGCAATAAAGTTGCTCTGAAAAAGTCTGTGAGCTCTATTTCAGTGGATTAAAATTAAAATAAATCAGAGGCAGCCTTAAGAGAAAGGGGATAAAATTATGCATTTAGGTACAGGGGTATCGATATAGATGTGGATTTAGATAGATGTGTTATATTTTATACACCCTTATTAAACATACATATAAATGATCCAAATACAGGTAGCCAAGCCCTAACAGAGGGGCTTTATTTGGAGCTTCTGCAATGATTATAACTAGGTATTTGACCCAAAAGTAATTGGGTGGTATATAGAGCATAGAAAAAATGGACTGGGGTAAATTCTACCTCTTGAAATTACTGAAACAGGGTCCCTAATCTCTTGGACAACAGTAATGAGAAGCTAAAAATGTATCACGTGATAATGAAGGATAAATGCTAGGTTGACACCAAGACAGAAGCTACCATCTGTCATTACTGCTGGCATCAGAACTGGACAAAGCCAAATATTCTGAGGCCACACATTCAAAGCAGAGAGGCATAAACTAAAGATGTTCATGTGCAAAATGGAAAGCCAAAGTGAACCTTCTAATTTAAATGACAGTACTTATTTATAACAGTATGTGAAAACCTAAGACAAAACCTGGACAAAATGACCTCCTGTCTATGACCATTACTTACCCGGGATGATTAAATTAAAAAGTGGGGTGAGAGGAGCTTGACCCCTTTTAAAACTGTTTTCTAATTAACACAATAAAGTGAATGAAGTTGAAAATTCTCTGTGATCATTCATTCAGTCAATTAATATTTACTGAGTGCCAGCTTTGGGCTTGGCACTGGATAGGTAATGCTGAACAAGACCAATATGAATGTTGTCACCATGGAGAACACAGTCTGGCCTACCTGCTCTAAACTACTCCCATCAGTATTTGCTTACAGTCAATCTACAAAACAGAGAAAAAAACCCTATGAAGCTCACAGTCACATAGATCCATCTCCAAGGAACACAGCTCATCAATTGTACCCTAAAATCTAGGTTTAACTCCCTGGTTTGGAGTTTAGAGAACACCTTTCCACGGATGCAATGCCATCAATAAAGTTTGAGTTCTCAGGTCAATCCGTAAAGCTTGAGTAGCCCTGCATTTAGCCACAATGTGATTTCAAGAGGTTTCCGGTTTGTGTTACCCTGGGCCCTTCGAATCAACACTATTAAATTATAGTTTAAAACCCTGAGGCTGCAACCACGGATCGAAATAGTCGACGCTTAAGACTGAAGTGTGCAGTGCTGGGGATGGGCAAAAAGCTGGAAATGCCTATGGGTCGGCTGGCAGCCATCTCCAGTCTCAGTCTGTTTCCAGGACAGGAAATAAGAATGGGGCTAGAATCATCTCGAGGGCAAGAATGACATTTGGAATCATTGGCCTCTCACACAGAACCAAGCCATTGGTTCTGGACAAGGCTACAAACATTTCATACCTTGTTACCCAGAAATCACAACTGACATATTTTCTAGTTATTTCATAAGTATAATAGTGTTTTTACATATTCTTCTCTTTTTCAGACATGTTTTTTCAGCAGTAATCTCAGACCTAATAGTTTTTAAAGTACATTAATGTACATTAATTTTTAAGTACCACTTCTTATACAGTTTTATTTGATTCATTGCATGAGCCTCATCTCCTACATCCCCCAAAATCATCAACTCAGCATCTGACTAATAAAACAATAACCTCATCGCAGGCCCGTTTTGTTCGAACTGTGGCACAGACGTGTAGCTAAAAATAGAAAAAAGAAGCTATTCTAAACAAAACTGTAAGTCTCTGGGACAAATTTTTTAAAAACTATTTAATTTATGTTTAGAAATAAGAGAATGAAACATACTGCCTGAAGGAAGTCATTTACTGGCTCTCTGATGAGGTTAAACAAAATCTTTCTTACAAATCATTAAAGATACCCTTAGGTTACATGTGGAAAATGTAGGTGCCTTAGCAGTAATCACCCCCAAATTATCCAAATAAAATATTGTTTCAGTTTTAATGCCAGAATCTCTGTATGAAATATAATCTTCTCTGAAACAAAATGTCTGCCTTTAATTCTTTTCTGTCACTAAGCTACAGAGAATATGCTAACTTTCGCAGATGATTCTGTCAGTGGTTTTCCTAACACACAGCTGGGGTGGGGAGAGGGTCCTAATATTGCTCCTAGGGTTCCTAAAGCTTTTGCTGGCTCCCAGAAGGACCTGGCCATATCCTCTCCCTGAAAAGCCCATGACGTGAAAGATATCAAACTAAACTCTCAAGGCAAGAAAGTGACAGCGCTAAAATCTGGCTCTCTCCAGTAAAATCTATGCTTGGGGACATCCACTCCAAGTGTCTCTATGGAAAGGAAGCACCTGATCAAAATGAGGAAAGCAAAATGCCATAGTAGGTGCCTAACATGGAGAGAGCAGAAGCGTGGCCATGACCTGCTGCCAGCTGAACATGGGAACCCAGAAAGGTCTGCAAAGCGATGGGTGAGTTTGGCCTCTCCCATATCATGTCATACTCAGAAAGAGATCTGGTAGCCCATGTTTATCCTGTCGAACAGTGATTCTCCAAGACTGCTCGGGCAGCACCAGTGTCCCTTGGAAACTGCTAGAAATGCCCATTTCCAGGCCCACCACAGACCTATTAAGTCAGAAATTCTCAGGGTGGCTCAGAAATATCTTTTCACGAGCCCACCAGGAATTTCTGATGAAAAGTCCAGTTTGTGAACCACCACCATAGGACTGATTAAAATCACTGTAGGATAGTTCCTCTCCCAAGACTTAATTTAATTGGAGAATGAGATCTTTCCTCCTCCAAAAGAAATATCAAGGATCGGCAGACCAAGGGTGAGTCAGGAGGAGGTTTGGGGGGCTTTAAGCTCCAGTTTAGCACCACCCCTCCCCATTCACTATGAGTTTAGGAATCTTGGTCATAGGCACCCACAAAGTGAGAGCAGAAAATGTCAGAAATGGATATGATCCACCATAGAGCCCAGTGTACACTGGGAAACTTCCTGCTACTGAAACATCCCCTGGCAAGTAAACAAACAACATCAATAGTAGTTTTAATAAATCATATAGAACAACAAAACCTACCAAACTTTCTTTCCAATGCAACTAAGACATCACTAAACCTCACGGCTTTCCCAAGTTAGTGGTTATTTGTGAGACCACACAAAATTCAACAATAACGTATCAGTCAATACTTAAATTTATACTTTAGAGCAAATACTCTTAAACCACTGAAACACTTAGCTATTTATATAACAAGAACATTTAAACAAGCTTTCCCCCTAAAATTCATTTTCAATTTTCAGTATTCTAAAAGAGACCAATGATCTATTCTTGGCAACATAGTCCCTCATTTTTAATCAAGCACTCAGAATTTTTCCACTTAAAAAAGTCACTCATTCACAAAGCTTCAATGTACCACCAGTGGCTGTTCTTACTTTACTTCCCAATGCTGTTCAAATTTCAAAAGATGAGAATCTGAAAAAAGCTGTAGCAACACCAAAAGCACACATCATGAACAATCTAGAAGTCGAGCAGCAGAAAGAACCTTTCTGCACAAAACACACGTGTCCATAATTAGCCTACTGCCCCTGAGCCTCACCTGCCATTCTGAAGCAAAAGGAAAACTCAGGCTCTCTTTGTCTATACCATTATTAGTCACTTGATACTCAAGAAACCAGTTCCGTGTCTTCTGGAACAACTGTCTTCAGGAACGTAGGTAGTGCTGGGTAATCAACATTATTTTGTCTGTCTTAGTTTGTAGTATCATATCCTTGTTGCTATTTTTTCAGCCTTAAAACCTAGTCATCGTAAATCTAGCTGCTTCCTTCTTGAGTGGTAATTAGCATTAGTCATAAGCCAAAAATAATTCCACATAAGAAGTAAAATAAACACAACCCTTCTTACCTTTCATGCCAAACTTGGAGTGTCTTGCCAACTTCAGCAGAAACAGCATTACCAGCAGACAAAATCCCACTACAGATGCAATGACCACCACAGCATAGACCTAGAGAAAGGAAGGGAGGGCAGTTATGGCCTTGCTAATTAGCTCCCTGTATCTAGATGTGATGATGATGATGACAATTAATATTTATGGAATGCTTACTCCTGGCTCTTCTAAGAACTTTATGCACATCAATTCACTTAATCCTCAACAACTCTATGATGAAGTACGTAGGTCCTATTATTATCATCCCTATTTTACAAATGAAAAAATTCAAGTTAAAGGTTATAAAAATGGGTATCTAATTGATATTATATAGAGATGTAGATATATGTAATAGATATATAGAGATTTATGTAATATATCCATATAAAGATATAGATATTAGCTATTTTAGCTATTAGCTATATTAGCTATACCTATATTAGCTATATCTCTATCTCTTTCTTCCTATCTATTTATCTATATTCCTACCTATCTACCTACCGACCTACCTGGAGAAGAGAGAGAAAAATATGAATGACAAAATATTGATGATTTTTTAAATTGGTGAAAGATACAGTGGGATTCATTTTACTATTCCCTCTATTGTTGTGCATGTTTGAAAAATGTCCATAATAAAAATGTTTTTTTTAATTGGCTATTGTTGCTTTTAGAAGTCTAGGTCCCCTGGAGCAATGAGTAGACCTGAAAGGAGCAGAGGACACTTGTGAATGAGTTCACTTGTGAAAATTCATTGAGTTGTAGATTTATGATGTATGCACTTCTCTATATGTATAATAGAGGTCAATACAAAGGTTTTTTTTTTTTTAATTTAAAAATGTAATTGCAAGATGTGGATTATACAAGTAGATTAGATGCAGATCTATGTGAATCCTGTCACAACCCTAAACTGGGGATCACAGAGGCACAAGAGCATGAAGCTAACAGCAACATTTAGAAACAAAGAGTGACACAAGGCTATATATCTCATTCCTTTCCTGCTGCTCACCCTAATGTCCTGCTTCCCAGAAAAGTTTGATTCTCTAAACCAAGGGTTGGCAAACTTTTGCTGTAAAGGGTCCAACAGTAAATATTGCAGGCTCTGGGGGCCATACAATCTCTGTTGCAACTACTCACCTTTGCTGCTATGGTCTGAAAGCAGCCAATAGACAATATGAAAGCAAAAAGGCATGACTGTGTTCCAATAAAATTTAATTTACAAAAAGAGCTGGACAGCTGGATTTGAACATAGTTGCAAGACTCTTGCTCTAAACTGTCTTAGATGTCTACACTTACTTAGATGCTTAAACTTCATTGTTAATCTGCATAACATTCCTTAAGATATTATTATTCCCATCTGTGGTAATCATTAATACTGTTTACCAAACATCTTTGTTTTTCCTTGTGTTTCTCTTTGTAGGATTCACTTCCTGGCTCCATTGTGGTGAAATGGGTTCATGTGGATAGTTCTGGCCAATGATTTGAGACTTGTGTCACCGCTAGGCATAGGAATTCAATGCTACTTCCAGCTCTTACACCAAGGCAGTAAGTCCCAAACAGAGATAATGTTGCACCCAGGGAACATTTGGCAATGTGGGGTTGTCACAACTAGGGGGAAGGTGCTACTAACGTCTAGTAGGTTGAGGCCAGGGATGCTGTTAAACATCTGACAGTGGCTAGGACAAGCCCCACAACAAAGATTTAGTCATCGATAATAATAATGTCAGTCGTGCCGAGGTTGAGAAACTCTGCTATAGTGCTCTTTCATCTCTGCCATAAAAAATGCTTACTTTCTAAAAATGGCTGCCTTGTTAGCCTAGTCTTGCCATGAGGATGAGGCTGGGAGAACTCCCAGCCAATATATGTAATAAAGCAAGAAACAAACCTTTGTTGTTTTAAGCCACTAAGATCTGGGGATTTTTGTTAGTGCAGCATATACCCATCTCACAGCAAGGGGCGGTAGTAAAGAGTAGAGGTTAAGAATATGGGTTCTTTCCGAGTTTGAAATTTAGATTTACCACTTATTAGCTACATGACTTCAGAATTATTTAACCTCTTGGCATCTCAGAATCCTCATGTGTAAAATATGGAATATAATAATTCTACCTTGCAGACTGTAAATCTTCCATGAGTTAATGGTCTTGGAACAATATCTATCTACAATACATAATATATTAGTGTTGGCTATGACGATGATTATGATGAAGATAAAACAGATTTAGAAAAAATTTAATAAGCAGTCCAAGATCACACCTTTCAAGCCTGGGATTTGAACCGATCTGCCAAAGTATAAACCCTGTAACTTATCTATTATACTACTCCAAAGCATGTGGCTGAAGTGAAGGGAGGATAATAAAAACACATGGCTAATCCTCCTGCTACACATTCTCTGATGTCAGATGGGGACAGCATTAAATAAGTCACAAAGCACAGAAAAGAACACATGTCAAGTGCTTGGCCAGGGTGGAGCAAAGGTGTGATAACTCTCTTCTCTGGCACTTCAGCTATGAGTGGCTCTCCTACAGAATGCTTTTGCAAATGTTTGAGTATAGACTAAGCTCTGTCTCCACAGCCTATTTACAAACAGAACGGTAGTGATTCCTAAAGAGCTAATGATGGATCAACTCGTTCTAACCAACACTATTTCTTTCAAATTTACCTAATGATTTGGGGTGTATTTTTAAATCTTTATTTCTAACTAACATTCTCATAGGAAAGAGATCATAGTATTTTTATCTCTAAGTTTCTTTAACCTAGCATTAAATTCTGCAGATAGAAGGGATTATACAAATAAACAAATTTAAACTGTACTTTACAGATAAGGAAGTTGGAATGGAGAAAGGAAGAGGACTTGACCTTAGTCCCAGGACCTCCTTATAGTCCCATGGTATAGTCTCTTACCACTCTGGAAAGTTCTTGACTGGCATTCAGGAGACCTGGGCCCTTATGTTTGCAGGACACCCTTTACCAGCTGTGAGAGGAAGAATAGATGCTTCGCTTCTCCGAGCCTCTGTTTCCTCATTTGTATATAGGGATAAGAATATCTATCCTGTCTTCTCAACATCATTAAAATATGCTTAC